AATCACATTTCCCATACACAGAATGAAGAACGTATCAGATCTCAGTATCCCATGACACTTGGCGATTGCTAGTTACTTGGGCTCAATCTCATTCTCTGATTTTTCTTGCCTTATTCAAGGTTCTTCCACCTAATAGGGTTTGCTGAGTGGGCCTGTTTTTCTCTGAGATGAAGTGGCTACACAGTGGGAGGGAGAGGAGTGTGTTGCCAAAAGGAATGTAAGGAATCTTGCGTTCGGGATTATGCTTAGTTGTTAGCAATCTTCGTTAAGCCGCCCAATAATCGTGCAGACCGTTTATTTGCGACTTAGCATTGCAAGAAGAGTTGAGCTGTTTTCTGGCTACTAATCTCATGGGTGAGTTATTTCGATTTCATCGAAAATGGTAAGAACTGATGAGTGTATTTCTAAAAGAACCCATGATTTATTCCTTAATAGGAATGTCTAACGTACTTTCATTATGTTCCAAACCACAAGCGTTTATTTGAAGCGTATATTATTTCATAAAAAAAAAATACGGAAATTGTGGAATTAAGTGAAGCAAATAAAATGTAGACTTACATTTTTTTATTAAGAGTTGTATTAAATTTATCAATAGCTAAGTAAAACCATACGAAATCCAGTAAACCAAGATGATAATATGTAGCTTTCAATTTTTGTTTTTTTGAATATTTTAAACACAACCATTTTAACGTAGAATTAGGCTTCCTATTTCATTTTTTGTACTGTTATCGATAAAAGTATTAAATAGAATTTTGCTTTTCAATTGTTATTCGATAATTATTTCATTTTAAAATACAACATTCTAAAGTTTATTCAGATAAATATAAAATCTTCCATGGTATATTGCACACATCGATATATAATTTAACAATGACTTAATATCTAAGTCATATTTATCCACTCTTGTTTGCAAACTCCTAAGTTTTTTTTTTTTCACCCATTCATTTTGAACATTTTCTGAGTCGCACGAACACCACTCATATTTCCTTACATGAAAACCCACATTCAACATGAAACATCGAAGAAAGCAGAATAAGTACACGCACAAAACATTTAACATAATAAAGTGCTTGATGTAGAAGAATACGTTTAGATACATACTTTGTTAATAAATAAAATAGTTTTTACAACAGTAATTAAAGAATATTTAATTTTTTATGTCATTAACACATAAATACAATATTTAGGAGGATTTTTAAATATATATATATATTTTTTTAAGTTGCCTCGATAATTTAATATAAATAGGTAAATAATATTGATATGATGTTCTGGTTGCATAAATTATTATTGTTTTGAAATGGGAAATAGCTTAAACACTTAAAACATTCTAATTATTGTAATTATATTGTAACTTACTTTACATATTTACAAGGGAACTGAAGTCAAAACATTATTTGGCAGGGAATATATAAGAAAATCCTCTGAATTAAGTAAATTCGTTGAAAACACTATTAAGTTCACTTTAGTACATTCCAAGGCCTTCGGAATATTTTTATGGATAGCAGTGAACTGAAAAGATCGTATTTCGGAAAGACATATATATACGTCTGGGGCAATTTACGCGTTGACTGAGCGACACGTTTATATACGCCGTAGGTACTTAAGAGGTTAAAGTCGTATATTGTAGCTTTTGCGTCAAAGTATTGTATTATCGAATCCAATACATTGTTATTGCATGGAGGGGGGAGCGATGAAAATTATGATTGAATATTGGGTAGAAATTATTTAAAGTTTGAGAACCACTGTATTAGACTAAAAATAAAGTATTTATTTTGCTAGAATAATAACTTCTTTTAGAATTAGCATCCATTTTCTGTAAAATTTTTAATCGGTAAGCAGAAAATAAATGCCAAGCAGTCACCTATTTTAAGACATTCAAGTATCGTATCCATGGAAATGAGGGTATCGTATTCAGTATGCAATAATTTATAACGAATATTTCCTTCAAAATGAAGTCGAGATGAAAGCAATATAATCGTATGAAACAGTATATCTATCTTGCATCAATTTTAAAATAGCAGACGATGTAGAAACATATTATTTTAAAAGTATTACTTTAATAAGATATTCCAAACAAATGATGTTTATATTTGCGTGTTTAATTTAGAATTTTGATACTTTTCTTAACTCTTTTTCATAAAATAGCATATAATATGCATATCACATCTGAATACAGATATGATTCGATAAAATTAGCAATTAAACTGAAATCGGTTTTGAATCTTAATCGTACATAATCGACGTATCTCTGTTATTCCTTGCATCGAAACTTTAATTTAAGCATACATTTAGGTCCAACTTTATGCAATATTAATCACTAAAATTTATGAGAAAATTAATGACATGTATGAGAATAAAATAACTAGTATTTTTCCCGATAGAAAAATATCGTAAGAGAACAAACTTAACAACCGAACAAAGCATAGTATAATTATGTCCCCGCTTCTGTAACTCATTAAAACTTTAAAAGTAAGATAATTCCCACAGAAGTCAATTTCAAAAGCTAATTAAACAGATTACACCGAATGCAAGTCTCAAAAAGTGCTAAAAAATGCGAATTTGTGTGATTTTGTGATTCCAAGTCTTTGAAATACGTTTGAAACAGATGCAATCGAACTTTCTATTCTAATTCGGTTGAATATCTTGTTTTGAAGTTAGAAATATTTAATGCGCGGTGCATCGAATAATACAAACTGCAACGAATACATATTTAATGCCAACTCATAAATATTCTCTGCAAATGATCGTTTTAATCTCTTTTTTTCCTCTCTACCAAGTCTGACAACACTTTGGTGATTTCAAAATGACTTATTTTGACATGCGTGCTTTGCATGTCGTGCAGGTGTTACGAAGTTGTTTTTATTTTCCCCACGAATCTTCTCGCGTTATTTATGCCCGAGTAGCACTGAAGAGAAAAGTTCGGAGAAAAGTACTTCAAAATTAAATAAATATTTAAACTTAAGAGTTTGTTAAAAATTCAGGATTTTTGCAAATGAGTAGTTGCGAAGATTAACTTGAAAGTAATCAAGTTGAGAGATTTAGTATTCTTCTATTGATCGAACAAATAGAGCAAAATAAAACATCTGAACCAAAGCAATAACATTTACATATATTCTAAATTATTCAAGGTAAAATAGTCGTGCAATTCAAACATGGGGGAACAGTTTCAAATAAAGAAAAAATAGCTCAAACACATAAAACTGCTTAGATTTTTTTTTCTTTTTGCATCTTTTTTCGTACTTCTGTATTGAACAAATTAATTTTTGTAAGACATTTAAATGATAAAATGTGCTATATAACATATTTTTTAAAAAAACTGCAGACTCATATGCATTATTGTACTCTGTTAATATGTAATAAAAGTAACGTGCTCACTTTTAATAATTTGAAATTCTACTTAGAATAGTTGGATAACGAGCATTACTTTATGATTGAGGTACGTTTGTAAAAATTTATAAATATCTCTTTAACCTGGCACTTATTTCATTTAAAAAAATGAAATATATTTCAAATAAATAAGAGGAAAAATGTTTCATGTTTTACAAACGGTGGTGAAAAGTTTTAGCAGGGAGAGATTCTCAACAATTTAACAATTTTTGAATAAAAATCTAACATATTTTGGAAATTCTAAAGATTGAATTAATTTTTATGTACTAAAAACGTTTAATTCTGATATTCATTATTTTATAGGCTCTAAAGTAAAAGATGTATTATATTTGAAATATTGTAGCGTTATAAATTAAGATATATTTACACTTTTGTTGGCACTAAAAGAACATATGCATATTTCTAATTTTGTTGGCTCTAAAACAAAAGATACATTATATTTATAGTTTTGAAGATTATCTTAAGGTATCCGACTACTTGCGACAACTTTTTTTTGAAAAAAAGGAGATATGGAGATTTTTTTGTGATTTTTATATTTATTTAGTATATCTTAAGGAAAAAATCCTAAAATTGGTAAAAGAAAAAAAAATTATTATTATTAAAATGGGAAAAAACTAGTAAAAATGTACGAAAAATTACATAAACGGGGCCCGTTCTGTACAAAGATTTTATGAACAACTTGTCAATTTTTCAATTTTGATGTGTTATACTTTGTTATTCCTGTTTGAAGTGACCTTCATGATAAGAGATATTTTAATTTTTACAAAAACTAGAGCACTTTATCTGTCATTATACAAAATTGCTTAAAAAAACATTGACTATATTCACATAAAGAACTGCAAATTTTGAAATAAAACAGTTATTGATAAATCTGAAGATCAAAACACTTGTACTGTTATGCAGAACATAAGCAAAAAATTTCGGCTAATTATTTTCAAAACATTTTGAGCAATCGCGGTCCCCGTTTGAGTTTTTCGAAAAAAACACATTTCGAGTAAAACGCATTTTAAAGTTTGACATCTTGTGTAAAGTTATGGCATTTGCTTTTACTAAAACGCTTGTAGTTTTTGTTCTAGTGGAGGGAAAATAAAGTACTTGGTATTGTTATTAAGTTAATAAAATGCTCTATAAAATAAAGTCATAAAAAAATTTGCCAATTTTTGAAAAAAATCATGGTTTTAGGGTAGTCGGATACCTTAAGCTTTTCTCTGAAAAATTAATCGTTTTTCGTCTTGCACCTACTACATTTTTTATCTTTTTATACACACTTTTTTAATCAGTATCCAGTTATTTTCATGCCCTTTTTCGTTTCCAAAAACTGTTAATTTTCTTTTTTTAAATCTTTTATAATACCATGTGTACAATATATATATATTGCCATTACTACTATTAGTTCGCTCTCTCTTTCTCTTTCTCTCTATATTCAAATTTTCAATCATTAATAAAATACATTTTATTCATTTATTTAAGTTCAATTATATTTTTTTTAAAACTTGTAGTGGAGGACACTAGATGTTATTACAGTTTTTACACATATCAAATTAATCAATAAATAGTAACAAATAAAAATAATAGTCCAACAACATATATGAAAGTGAAATTCGCTCTTTGTTTCTCTGTAGTGCAATGGGCAGCGTGTTGGACTTCTAATCCAAAGTTCGTGGGTTCGAACCCCACCTGCAACGGCCAAATTTATGAGAATATGATTTCTTTTTTGATACACTATTTTATTAGAAGTATTAAATTTAAATGATGAATAAACAGTAACAAACAAACAAAAAATAGTCCAGCACCCTATATAGATAGGAAAATGGAAATATGCAAGGGATGTCGCTTTCTCTATTTTGCCAGTTAATATTGTGATCCTGTCACATGTATACACTTATTTATATTAATTGCAACTATTTAATAAGAAGTAACTGAAATAAAAATATGTCTTTGTTGACCTAAGTAGGAATTGCTTAATTTTTTTATATTGCTTGTTTATTATTCATTTCAAAATTCCATAATTATCCCACTTACTTTTAAGATTTATCCTGCCTTAACATATGTTTCACGGCATTCTTGGTGAATATAATAACTTTTGCTGCATAAATTCCCTTCATAGTCACCATCCTAAAATTCACCTCTAATTATTTATATCTTTAAAAAAGTGTCACCATTATAAACGTTTATTTACATTCATTTCTATTCAAATAAACCTTACTTTTGTTTTTGCTCACCTTATGTACGATTCTCCTCTGTTTCATGTTGCATTGAGTACATTTATTAAAGCGCATCATTAACCTCCCCATTTTTGTAAGAGAACAATACCTTTCATGTTACTTTTCAAAACAGCCCCCTACGAAAAGTTAACCCTATCATTCTCCAGTTAATCCATAGCTGGAGGCACAAAGCACAAAGTTTATGCCGAAACTGTCGAGCAAGTGCACTGCGCTTGTATACCGAAGGATTTAAGTCTGTCATAATGACGCGAACTTTCTGCAGCATCTGGTGAAAATTACAAGGAACTCATTAAGTGAAATGCCAGAGCTGAAAAGGATTACATCCGGTCTAAACATGGAAACGGTTGTGGTCAGATCGCCCTTGTAGGAATTTTAGAGTTAAAATGCTTAAAGAAATTGCATGTTTCTGTGTGACCTGTGCTATAAGATTATTTTTCTTAATGATGCAACAAAATATCATTCTTCATCATTTTTTTGAAAACAAAGACATTTGTTTCGAAACTTTTTTATGATCGATACTCAGTTTAAACTTTTTAGAATGATGATGATTCATAATTTATTCTTGAATTGAAAAATAATTTGCTAGTCATTGAATTAAAAAAAAAAGTTGCAATTCATTGAATTCAATGAAAAACACATTTTTTTAACTTAAAAAAATATATATTTTTTAAAAAAATAATTTAAAATTAATTAAATTGAACAAAAAATAGTTTAAAATTCATTAAATTGAAAAAAAATTAAATTCATTAAATTGAACAAAAAAATAGTTTAAAATTCATTAAATTGAAAAAAAATAGTTTAAAATTCATTAAAGTGAAAAAAAATAATTTAAAATTCATTAAATTGAAAAAATAATAATTTGAAATTCATTAATTTTTTTTTTAAAAAATTAAAATTTATTACATTTAAAAAAATAAATTTAAAAGTATATTAAATTCTTTAAAAAAATTTTAATTTGTTAAATTAAAAAAAATAATTTAAAATGTGTTGAATTTTTTTAAATTAAATTATTTGAATTTTAAAAAAATATATAAATTTGGAATTTGTTGAATTTAAAAATATTAATTTCAATTCATTGAATTTAAAAAATAATAATTTTGAAAAGATATTACTAACTGTTCATCAAATTTAAGACTAATATTGATGAAAAGTTATAAAAAATTAATATATTTTTTAAAAAATAAACATAACGCAAAAAATATTTTCAGTAAAATTACAATAAATTTCTAAGAATATATTAAATTTCTTTAAAAAAAAAAAGAAAAAAAATCATTCTTTATTTGCTATTTATATGAGTTTTTTAAAAATTCTATCGTATAAAAATTTGAAAATAAATAAATCTTCTGTTTAGTTTTAAGCTAAACGTTTTAAGAGCAAACATATATTGTAATAAGTAATACTAAAATTTTAGTAAAAAATTTACTTACTACGCAGTAAATATTTTATTAAATACATTCAAAGTAAAAAAAAATAATGCATTAAAATGGGAAAATAAATTATTCATTTAAAATTATGCTTTCTAAAGTTTGTTTTTTACAATGTTTAAAAGATGCATACAACAGTAAAAATTCCATTGCAAATTTTATATTTATTAAATGTACATTTATTAAAATAAATCTGCATTCATGTATGTGTTCCTTTTTTTCTTAGCCATAAATTATTCTTGTGTATTCAAAATACTTCCTTCTTAAAGTCCATGCAATTGTTTTAAAATAATTTTATTTTTTTATTTTATTTATTTATTTATTTGAAAAAAATATTGAAAAAATAGCTGTTATAAAAAATTATATTTAAAAATTATTAAAAAAATATATAACTTTTTAATTCAATATTATGTTTTTAAAAGTTTCTTTGCATACATTAGAGAGCTTTACTGAATTTAAACAATCGAAATTTTATTTTACGCGTTTGTTTTATTAAATTTGAATTTTAGAGTAGAAATCTTATACGAATCCTTCCATTTTAATAATGTTTGAGTACTGCATTGCGTGTGTGTGTGAAAAGATGTGTAGAAGTCAAAGGAATAAATTATTTAATATTACAAAATACTTAAATAAAAATGATTTCGAAAATTTGTATTTTAACATACAAGACCAAAAAAAAAAACAAACAACATGTAAAGTTTTTTAATGCTTTTAAAACTTGGAAAAGCAATAAATAAATAAATAAAGCAAAATGCAAAGTTGTTGCACTAAAATTCTTTAATACAGAGCTCAATTTATTTGTTATTACACATTGCTTATTTTATTTAAACGGAGAAATAAAAGCGAGAAATTCAAATATTATTCTTACAATTAAACAAAAATATTTTCTGTTCAATGTTTTTGATGAACCCAAAAAAATAAGAGTTTATCGACTCATTTAACAAAAAAATTGTTTTTAAATATATAAAAAAATATTTAAAAAAATAAAATTAAATTTTCTTTCAAGGAAAATATAATAAACATTCGCATAAGTTTTGTAAAGTAGGAGAAAACAATGTAATTTTACAAGGATAAACTGATGAATATTAAATTAAATTTATAAAAGCTGCTTCCCAATCAAAACATTTAGCTTAAATAATTAACCAGTGCAAATATTCAAAAAATATCATTGTCATCACTAGTTTAAAGAAGACAACACAACTCCACAAACGTCTATTTTAAACTAAATTCCATTATTCTTCAGCTAAAATAAATCTACTCTACCATAGATAACCCCAAAAGAATAGATTCACAAAATACCAAAAAAAACAAAATAAATAACATTCTTTTTTTTTCTAAGCAGAGGCGCGTTGAAGTTTTGTCTAGGCTAGAAAGGGTGCGATTAATTTTTATCATTCGTTCAAAAACGGGTAATTCAAATTGGAAGAGCTTTACCCAAAAATCTCTGGAGACTTAAGTCTAAGGGGTTATAGGAAGGGGGTTTGAAAACGAAGAGAAGATACTTGGAAAATCGCTGAGGCTGCAAAAAGTATCAAAATTGATGATTCCAGAAGAAAGTCAAAATAAATGCGATAAGACCTGTTGTTTTTATTGCAGCTGAAAAAAGTAAGTAGTAGAGAAAATGAGGGGAAAAAATGTTTTTCTGCAAACGATATTTCGATTAGTTTTCGAATTTCTTTTACTCATCGATTTTATGATTTTTTTTCTCTAAACTCTTGAAATCTGATTGGTTTCAAATGCATTTTTAGTTGAAATCGAATTTATATATGTTATTCCTTTTAAAGTGTTTTAAAAATTTCTATTGATGAGAAACATTTATTATTTTAAAAAATTTTATCTTGCTTCTTATTAACTTATAATTTATTTTACATACATTTACTTATATTTATTTGCTAAAAAATTCATCAGATTTGAATGGAATTAAATTGAAACTAGTAGACTTCTCAGAAAGTGTTCAACCTGCAAAATTAATATTTATATATCGATAATCGTTCTTTTAAGATATTTTAATGTAAAAAAGTTCAGATATATATATATATATATATATATATATATATATATACACTGCTGGACAATTGCTAAGGACGGATCAAAAATTGCTATGTAGCATAACATTAAGCGAGACATGAGGCCTAGTAGGATAAAATATAGTTGCCACACTGTTCAGACATTAGAATAAAGAATATTTATTGTTCTGCAAAGTACAAAAAGCTGTGAAACATCTGAAAGAAAAAATGTTCATTTCATCTGCGTACGGAGAAATGGAACAATGCATCTAAAAGTCAGCAGGCACCTTAAAGAAAGGTATCAGTACGGGATATGCCCACCGTGGAGTGTGATGCAACATTCCACACGTCGTACCATACTTTGCGCAACATTATCCAGCAGCTGTTGAGGCAAATTATCCCATTCCTCTGTGAGTGCACGGATGAGGGTGTTCTTGTTTGTCGGAGGATAGTTTTGAGCAGCAACTTGCCTCCCCCAAAGCATCCCACACATTTTCAATGGGGTTTAGATCTGAAGAACGCGCTGGCCATACGAGACGTTGAATACCCTCGCTGTCTAGACAATCCTGAACAGCGAGTGTTCGATGACATGTTGCGTTGTCGTCCATAAAAACAAATTTATCACCGACAGCACCACGGAAAAGACGAACATGAGGAAGTAGAACTTCATCAATGTATCGTTGGCCCGTCATAGTCCCATTCGCAACCACATGTAGGCGCGTGTGGCCATTGATCATGATGCCGGTCCACACCATGATACTGCATGTCGGATATCGGTCCTTTTCCTGGATATTTTCTGGACGATAAGCAGTACCACTCTCGCGCCAGATCAGTTGGCGTCTACAATCCGATGACAGACTGAACCTACTCTCATCTGAGAATAGTACGCATGCCCAGTCCTGTTCAGTCCAATTGTGATGCTCACGACACCATTGCAAACGGGCAGTACGGTGCTGTCTGGTCAATGGGACACACACAACAGGTCTGCGTACGTATAGTCCTCCTCCCCTCAAACGTCTGGCAACAGTTT